ATACTACATAAAGAAATAGATACAGTAAAATAAGTTGAAAAAAACTTTTTATAATAATATATACAAGAAATAAACTAAATGTACTATGATAATTACTTGAATTAAACCCAAAGTCTTTTTTTTTAACCCATGACTGTTCAAAAACTGCCGACATAATTTCTTAATTATAATACATTCATTCATTTTCTTGTCGGCTTAGTCCCTTTATTATTCCGGGGTCGCCACAGCGGAATGAACCGCCAACTTATCCAGCACATTTTTTACGCAGCGGATGCCCTTCCAGCCGCAACCCATCTCTGGGAAACATCCACACACACACATTCACACACACACTCATACACTACGGACAATTTAGCCTACACAATTCACCTGTACCGCATGTCTTTGGGTTGTGGGGGAAACCGGAGCACCCGGAGGAAACCCCCGTGAACGCAGGGAGAACATGCAAACTCCACACAGAAACACCTACTGAGCCGAGGATCGAACCAGCGACCCAGCGACCTTCTTGCTGTGAGGCGGCAGCAATACCTACTGCGCCACTGCATCACCTTGTTATTATAATAATAATTCCTTAATAATAATAATATTAATAATAATAATAATAATTCTTTTAGATTCTTTATTAGTTTAAAACTATAATGCACTTCTTACAGGACTTGAATGTATTACGAGGGTTGATAATGTAATGAAACTGAATGAAATGCAAACTCACACAGCAATGTAAAACATACCATTACCTGTTTGGAGGTTGAGATATAGTCTAAAATGGAGTTGATGGATTTCTCAGAATAATTTCTGGTGACAGCGCTCCTAATATAAGTCAAAAGCTGTTTGTACCGGTTCATCATTTCAGGAAAATTAGTCTATGAAATCAGAAGAAAATAAATGAATCAACGTCATTTCCAAACAGATCAATAATTCTTATATATATAATTGGTTGAGAAATGAAAAAAAAACTATCAAACAGATATAGAATCTTTTTATGACATTACCCAATTTTATTTCATATTCATAATGTTTTAGGCGAACAAACAAATAATACTTTATACTATAATAAACTATATAACTACATACCAGTTTGAAGTTGATCTTGATCATTTGTTTCAGTGCTTTGAATCCCCATTCTCCTTTCTCACCCTCCAATTCCAGCACCTGCAAAACAAAAAGAAGGTGATTATTCATTTTCTAAGTTAAAATGCAGTTATTTATGCTTTAAAATCATATCAGCAGCATTATCTATATTCATGGCAACATTAGTAATGGACAACTTACAAATATATCGGTTTCATAGTAAATAAGAATGATACAAAAAAACATACAGATAAAAACAAAACTGATTAAAGGTTATATTATATAAAGGTTATATTATCATATAAGATCTTTCAATTTAGTCAGTGATAAATGTTCTAAAATGGTTCTAAGTTGCACCTTTTTAAACATATTAAACAGAGTTTCTGGAGGTTTCATCAAGTCAAATTTACAACTTTTCAAGACCATTATGATTGAAATTTCAAAATTATACAGGGCTAACACTGAGGATTTTTACTTGACCCATCAAAAAATATTGAAATTAAATATTTCTTAATCACATAAACTGTAAAAGGAAAATCTCAGTTCCACACAATCTATTTGTGTTGGGACAACATGAAGGAATTAAGCCAACTTATTTGTTTTTACAAATTTAAGTGGATTGAATATACAATCATGTAGTGCCAAAACAACTCAATTTAAGGGCGTACTCACACTATGCTATCCGAACCATGCCCAGGCCCGTTTCCCGGATCGTTTGAGTGCACTGAATCGGGCTCAGGCACGGTTCACTTGGCCGGCCCTGGCCCGGTTGAAAGAGCACGGTTCACTAGGGCTTGTTAGTGCAAAACGCGCCAAAGCCCGAAACTGAAAGCGAGACTTGACGTTTAAGGGACTGTTTCATATGTATTTATTAATCATTCTTACTGTTCAGTGAACGCAAACTGCCGCAGCTTATTAAATATGTAAACCCCTCACTGCACCACAGCTGCGCACCTTCAGCAAACCTCCTCATTCCTGCAGCACGAGGGCTTTATGATTGTTTATGAGCGCCAAAAGTGACGGATTTGTTCAGCGAAATATCTGACTGCGTGTCCCCGCATCCCTAAGGACTGTTTGGCGAAATATTTGACTGCATGTCACTGAATATCAAACGACTGAAACGATATAACTAGAGAAATCTCCACTGTGCTGAGCGAGAGCGATTACTGAACAGCGCAGCATCGATGACGTAAGCGTGCCCAGGCCCGATTGTATGTGAGTGCGGGGCGTCAGGGGAGACGGGAGGGGGGACAAGCGTGCTTTGGCCCGGTTCAAGGCAACTGTACATAGTGTGAGTACGGCCTAACAAACAAAATTTGGAGTGTTTTTAAATGCGTCCAAAAACAAGAAACAGACACGTTTTAAAAACTATAGTAAACTAGAGGTACGCACAACAGTCAGTCCAGGTCAGTGTCTCCACCATAAATACATGCGTTACGGATGTGACCAAAAAGTCTGCAAGTTTACATTATACAGCATTCTAGAAATTCTGCGAATTAAACAGCACAACCCAAAAGAAATAACGCTAATCAAAAAGATAAGAGTCTGCTCACTATAGAATAAACATGATTGATTTTATTTTATTTGACATTTGAGTGTTTATAAGGAATTCATTATGGATGTGACGCCTCTCCGTTTGGGATATGACAGATATGAAATTGGCACTTGTGTGACTCTGGTAAATTAAATATAATTGTTTGAAAACATTGACAGAGACATTTTTGAGTATTATATATATATATATATATATACACACACACACACACACACACACACACAAATATAAATACAAGCCTACACAAAAAAAAAAAAAAAAAAAATAGAAAGGGTTTCACTATGTTGGAAAAAACTTAGTGTTTTTCATGGCAAGTTTGACATGGAGTTGCTCCTTTTTCGCTTACCTTCTGGAAGCTGCTCAGGGCTGCTTTAGGATCATCTTCTTTGAGGGCTTTGGAGTTGTAATACTGATTCTCCAAATCCACATTGGGTTCAGAGTTGCTGTCCTCAGAATATTCCTGAAGTCAGAGTCAATTAAATGTCAAATGACACTTCCAGCATGTTTTAGAATCAGAAAGAGCTTTATTGCCAGGACTGTTTACACACATACTGAGGTGAAGTTGGTTTTATATTCACACATTCACACTTTCCCCTTAATAATATAATTTCAGAAAAGCATTATTTGCGAATTCTTAATAGGGAAATCATATTAGCAGCCAATGACTATCAAAGTAAACATTGTTCACAGTCAATTTAATAGTGCTAATGTTGTTTTGAAGTCATACTTGCATGCTGATTCAGACGGAATATTCAAAGAAGCATAGGTAAACAGCATAGGGAATGTTACATGGACAAATGTGCGAATATAAAACTAACTTTACCTCAATCACACATATGAGGAATTTGTTTTCATGACAGAGCTTCAACAGTGCAACAGAATTACAAAGACAGGACAAAAAACACATTATATAATATATATATATATATAAATATATATATATATATAAATATATATATATATACATATATATAATATATATATATATATATATATATATATATATATATATATATATAAAATATATATATATATATATATATATATATATATAAAATATATATATATATATATATTATAATATATATAAATATATATATATATTTTTTAATAGAATTAAGTATTGAATGCAAATATACAAACTGACAAGTGTGTGTACAGATGTATTACTATATACAACGTTATATGTGCAGCTGTTATGTGCAATTTGGCATGTAAAGTGTGTTGTTAAAAAAAATAAGTGTATAAAAAGTAGTGATGTTTGTTTCACAATTACCACCATCAAGTGTGCATGAGCTGGATAGCCTGTTTACATAACTGATCAAATGTTACCACCTTGAGAAATGCTGTACGTCTTAATGCTGAACGATTATGCCAACTGCATTCCAACAGTTATGGATTGCATATTTATAAATGTACCAATAAAGAGTGTAATGAGCAACAGAATGAATGAGATATTACCAAGGCTCATAACTAGCAACTTATTAGCAATAATTAAGTCTACTTCAAGAGTCTGCAAGATAATAATAAACACATAGAAGCTCACAAATACGAGCTATCAAAATCAAGTTGTTAATACATTGAGTATCTTGCAGAACTTTAAACAAAACAGTTACAATACAGAAAACTGTCATTTTTGTGACTCAATCATTGCAGTATTAGCAAATTAGCCATCTGCTAAGCATCTCACATGCGATACTTAGGCGCGTATAAACACGTGAAACAATATTTCTTGACGTCATTAAATCGGCGTAGAGCTAAACTACATGCGTTAATATTTGCGTTTATTTAAGATAGTCTTACCAAGTCATAATCCTCCTCATCATCGCACATGAAATCATCTTCCATGTCAGACATTTTGACCGGAGAGAGAGACTCTTACCCACAATGCTAGGCGGGAATGTATGGAAGCCCGTTCCCGCCACTGAATGATAAAAAAATTAAGAATTTATATAAAAAAAATATATATAATACTATTTTTAAAAAAATTATAAAGTCAGAATTCTGAGTTATTAAGTCACAATTCCGAGTTATTAAGTCAGAATTCCGAGTTATTAAGTCAGAATTCTGAGTTACAAAGTCGCAATTCCGAGTTATTTAGTCAGAATTCTGAGTTACAAAGTCGCAATTCCGAGTTATTTAGTCAGAATTCCGAGTTATTAAGTCAGAATTCTGAGTTATAAAGTCGCAATTCCGCGTTATAAAGTCAGAATTCTGAGTTATAAAGTCGCAATTCCGCGTTATAAAGTCAGAATTCTGAGTTATAAAGTCGCAATTCCGAGTTATAAAGTCAGAATTCTGAGTTATAAAGTCGCAATTCCGAGTTATAAAGTCAGAATTCTGAGTTATAAAGTCGCAATTCCGAGTTATAAAGTCAGAATTCTGAGTTATAAAGTAGCAATTCCGAGTTATAAAGTCAGAATTCTGAGTTATAAAGTCAGAATTCTGAGTTATGAAGTCCCAATTATGAGTTATTAAGTCGCAATTCTGAGTTATAAAAAAATCTTTTGAATTTCGACAATTTCTCACGACATTTCATATTACGTTACGAGAGTTCCTGTCGCCAGCAGCTGAACGTTTCTGCGACGCCAAGGTATGGTCATATTTACTATTTGGCATGATAATTATTTACGATATGAAGTGTTACAGTAAATGCCGTGTTATAATAGAAGCCTTTGGCGAGTGTAAAATCCGAAAGTTTTGCGTGTGTGGTATCATAGCCTACAGGCTCATGCGGTTTCCTCGAATAGTAGTCGTGTTGCTTTTATGGACAATTCAGTAGGCTAGTTTACATTGCACCAAAAGGGAGTAAAATTAGGTTTGGATTCAAAGCTTGCTTTGTTATGTACAGTATACTAACCACAAAAGTACATGGATTTTGTTTTCTGGCTTATATACTCGGTCTAGGCTTTATATTGGCCTCTAGCCTCACTATGTTTTCCTTTTAAAACTATCATTGTAGGATGGACGAATTAATAATTTTACTAAGGGAGAGAAACATCCCTGAAACAACTATCAAACGACTGGAGGAAGACAAGGTAATACCTAAACAATTTACCACACACTTTTAAAGTCATAATTTGGAAGAAGTGGACATTTTAATGCATGTTTAATTTTAGTCACTTGCAGTTTTATTTCTTAAAGTAGTTATATACTGTTTATTTTACAATAAATAACTTAACCTAAGCTGAACACTTTGGCAAAGCTCCAGTGTTTACCTAAACACTTTCAATTATACTTCAGTTTAGTGACTGAATCTTAATATTAACCAGTTGCTTGTTGACATGCGTAATACTAGCAGACTGCTTATTGGTACTTAAAAAACATATATTAATGCCATATTTTGAATGACCATATTTTACATTCTTTTTTAAACCATTCATAGTTACTTAAAGGCATACTCAAAGAAAACAGTACTACACCATTGGGGAATATTACAGAAATTTAATACATTTATTGAAAAACAAAGTACCAAAATGTATGTAATGGCAGAAATATGAAATGAAATATGAAAATAAAAATAAATAAAATAACATGAACTTGTCATTTATAACCAGTAGATGGTAGCAGAGGTTAACTCATTTAGCTCAGTTACTGTATCGACTCCTTAGATGTTTCAATGTCTTTCTTTTGGATTTCTTATGAAAACATTAAATATAGCAAGTTTACTGTATTATAAGGAAGTACAAAGTACAAGAAGTCAGAGTGCCATTTAAATATAAATAGTGAACCCATACACCAACAATCTTTAAGGGTAATTTACTTAAATACTTTAGTATTAAATTTACTTTATTCAGCCAACTCAGATTTGTTATTATTTAGTTTTGGTACTCTAAATTTAGTTTGATTTACTTTATGCACAACTCTGAAACTGCATAGGTGGATTACACATAAACACACGCACGCACGCACACACACACACACACACATATATATATATATATATATATATATATATATATATACGCGTGAGTGTGTGTGTGTCTGTATTTATTTATGTAAGTATTTATTTATTTTGCAGATTGATGTCAGTGTCCTACTGTTAATGACTGATGATCAGATGAGAAGCTATTTTCCTTCATATGGAGACAGACTGGCCGTGATGGGATTTTGTAGGAGGCAAGAAAGAGAACCAACTTGCAGGAAGTCAAAGCTGTTTGAGCGCCTCAAATCAAAACTGACCAAAAGACAAAAACCTGACAATTCACAAACAGAAACCCAAAATACTACAAAAAAACATTCTCAGCGTACTGTAAGAAAAATTGAAATGGGGTGGATGCACCATGATGGTCAGGGCTTTGTTCAAATGAGAGCAAAAAAAGGAGGGGGAACAAGGAAGTTGAGTGTTCCAAAAGAATGGAAAAGGGAAGAGCTGATTGAGGAGGCAATTCGTCTGTTTTTTCCAAATGGAAAAAATTCTCATGGGAGTATTTCTGAGTTTAAATTGGATCTAACAAATTATCAGGAAGTGTCACTAGATGCAGAATCTACAGTGGGGGAAATGTATAATGCATCCAAACTCACAATGATGAGGTTCTACTTGACAACAAAAAAGGTGGAGAGGGAAGTGGAAACAGAAAGTGAAGAGGAAATGTCAGATCAAATGGAGAACTTTCACAGTAATAACCAGGATCAAAGCCTTCCCTCTACTTCCAGTGGGATGAATGACTTCTTTCCTTCAGAGATGGATGTAATTTATGTAGATAGTCCGGTTAATGACACTGCATCTCCCTTTCATTCCACAGAGGATCATATTGCAGATGATGACCTGAATGTATCTTTTCAAAGTTCTTTAGTGACCTTGCCAGATTACTTAGATTCAAGCAATGTAGTAACAGTACTCACTGGTGACATCATTGGAATAGATGAACAAAACTTAGATGACACTTTGCCGCTGAGCCCAGAACCCATTGCTCCACAGAAAAAAATCCTTGTTGTTCATCGTGGACAAATATTTTCAGAGCTCATTGCCCATTTCTGTGATGAAACCCTTATTCATACACAGAGTGAAGTAGAAGTGAAGCTGCTGCTCCCAAATGGACAGTTTGAGATGGGTCATGATGTTGGTGGAGTGTTTAGGGATTGCCTATCAGAGTTCTGGCAGGAATTTTATGATCAGTGCACATTGGGGAACAATTTTAAAGTTCCCTTTCTTCGACATGACTTTGGCAAAGAAAAGTGGGAAAGTGTGGCCCGAATAATTTTGTTCGGCTGGAAGAAAGAGAAATATCTCCCAATAAAACTTGCACCTGTCATCCTCCAGCAAGCAATACAGGGATCTGTGAAAAGTGATCTGATTGAGAACTTTTTGAAGTATGTCTCAGAAAACGAGTGTGCTTTGTTAGAAAGCTGCAGAAAAGACTTCTGTAGTGCAGACCAGGAGGAATTGCTTGAGACCTTAGACAACTACAGTTGTCGAAGAATTCCAACAAATGAAAACTTCAAGCAAATTTTGGAAGAACTGGCTCACAAAACTCTCATTCAAGAGCCTGCTTATGTTCTTGAACAGTGGGCATGCATACTTGGACCTCTGAGGAAGGACCTTGAGGAAATTGAAGATGTGTACTGTGCATTACAACCAACAGTGAGGAAAATTGTGCAATCTCTCAAATTTCCTGAAACAATGAATGTACAGCAAAAGGACATTTCAAAGCACTTGACAACTTACTTGAGGGAGTGTGATGCAAAACGGCAGTCTCTGTTTCTTCGATTCTGTACTGGATCAGATTTGTTTATAGGCAAAGCTATAACAGTTGATTTCACAGACCTTAAAGGGTTTGAGAGAAGACCAGTGGCGCACACATGTGGCTGTTTTCTGAGGCTTTCAGTGCACTATGACAACTACCCTGATTTCAGATCTGAAATGAACAAAGTCCTTGAAAGCAACATCTGGGTCATGGACATAGTTTAGTGGATTTAGTCGGAACTGAGTTGTGGCCAGCTCCTATGCAAGCTATTGTTTTCTGTCATTCTTATTACACTTCATACAGTTAATTCACACTGTATACAGAAAGTAAATCATTCCCTTTAATTTTGCACTTACATATTGCTGGTTACATTGAATGCAGACCAACCTTTATTATTTTTGATGATTGAGTTTTTTTTTTTTTTTTGATGATTGAGATTTGATTAAAAAAAAATAGGTGCAACCAAATGTTTGAGTTAAATCATTAAATTGTTAATTTCAACTGTTCAGTCAAATAGGCTTGGAACTGTCCAAATGTTTTAATGGTTCCTTTTTCATACATGTACACGCTCTACCATTATTTGACAAGTTCATAAAGTAAAACAATCACTTTAATTGTTCATTGAATGTTGCCCCTAAATAGTGAAAGTTTTCTTCATAGTTACAAACAACTGTTTACATTTAATTGTACAAGTTGCATCTACCCTGACATAAATGTCTGAATGATTATGTGTTCCTAAAGAGATAGTTCACTAAAAAAATGAAAATGTTCTCACTTTTTACTCACCCCTCAAGTGTTTACAAGCCTCTATGGATTTATTTCTTTGGTTGAACACAAAAGAAGATAGTTTGAAGAAAGCTGCAAACCTGTATCCATTGACTTCCATAAAAGAAAATACAAATACTATGAAAGTCAGTGGTTACAGGTTTTCAGCTTTCTTCAACAGAAGAAAGAAACAAGCAAGGAGTGAGGAAATTGACAAGTTCATTTTTGGGTGAACTATCCTTTTAAGTTTGTGTTTCTATACAGTTGGGTGTTGCATTATTGCAACAATACATAACAATTTTATAACATTGTTTTATTGAAATAGTTTTAATGTGGTTTGTTTTATTTTTTCTTGTACCACATTGTAATGTTAAGTACTCATACATTAAACAACACAACCTCCATATATTGTGCCATGTTTTTTTGAGAATTCAAGATGGAGTGAGTAGGCTACTACACTGAAAAAAAAAATTATTTATTGGATTTACAAAAAGTGGTTGCAAACAAATTGTTTAGGCTGAATTTAAACAAACAAATTAAGTAGAACATAACTAAATTTACTTTTTTGTTTATATTCAGCCCATATAAATTTTTGCATTTCAGCATTGCATTTTTTATTGGCCAATAAATAAATTGCTCATCAAAGTCTGCTTTAATTAAAAAAAAACTTTGAACTTTTAAAATCAATTTCACTTAAAGCTCTGTAGTGGTGCACAAAACCTGACAGCCAGTGTACCATGTTAAAATGATTACAGGTTCGTTAAGCATGTATAGGAAAAACATTGGGAATACTGTTCGAGCATTTGTTTGAAACAAAAATGTACTACTACAAAGTTGAATATTTAATAATAAAAATACTATTACAAATTCAGTTCTTTATTTCAGGTATAACACAAAATACAGACAGTTTACCATTTAAACCCTTTAGTTTATGTTTTAAATATACATCCCCTTTATATTCCTAAGGTGAAACAAATGAAAATTCTATACATTTTGAAAAATTTCAGTACTATTGCTTTACAGTTTAAACAAAATTATTTTACTTTTGAGTAACAAAATACTTCTAAAACTCACTTCCTCTGTTTCTATTGCATTCAGGTTAGGTCTAAAAGTATTAAAAGAGCACCACAAAAGTGTTTGAAATCATGCAAAAATGTGCATTACTGTAGTTGGGAAAGATGTCATTTAAAAAGTAGTCATAAAAAAGTTTTTTTTTGTGTGTGAAGTGCATCTTGATGCACTTTTATTATCTCATCTACCTAAGTTTGCTGGCCTTCTTTTGCACATGAGGATGGGATGGTCTGGAACAAATTATTCATTCCTTCTGAAAACACAAAGCAACATCACTGTGATTGTGTGTCATCATAAAGAATTATATTAGAGGTTATTTACTGTACTTTGAGCACTGTGTCTGACAGACAAGGGATCCTGAAGCGTGTATGAAAATGATGGAATGTAAACAGTTGTTCCATTATAGTATGTAGAGTAAAGGTACATTAATCCCATAACCCTAGAAGATAGGGCTGTTACTAATCAAATACAATCAGCATCAATAAAATACATCCTTCGATTGCCACAGTGGCACAGAAGATACATCAGATGTGTCATTCATTCATTAGTAACGAAGAATTCATGTTTTAAAATTATTCTTTGTTTGCTGTGAGCATTTTGCATGCTGTTTATGTGCCCCAGTACATAAAAAAGCAATGTTATTTGACATGTCTGTTAAATGCAGCTAAGTTGTAACACAACTGTGATGCAGAAAAAAATACAATTCCAGTTGTATCAATAATGGCATTGTGTTAATGTTTTGTTTATAGAATTTTTTTCATATAAAAATATGACATGTCAGTGGCAATCCCAATTTAAATATTATGCCCTTAAATTATACACTATGGCATTTAGACAACTGGCTTGTTATCAGTTTCATAATTAAAGATGTAATGACTTTTTGAGTCTGGGGCATAATGGTAACAAAATTCATTAACATATTCATGTTTAAAGCCAAATAATAATAAAGTGAAATATAAATCCTGCTCACCTGTTATCTTGATAGACAGACACAGCACAGTGAAAGTAAAGTGGGAATTGCAGAGATTTTAACCTCAGAGAGTTCTTTTGAGACTTGCATGAAAAAAGCACAATAGAAGTGTTTCAAATAATGCTCACAGATAATATTGTGTGTGTGTGTGTGTGTGTATGTGTGTGTGTGTATGTGTGTGTGTGTACAATACCTTTACCTTCTAGTGAAAGTTGTAGATAAGATCTCAATGGTGCATCTAGTCATCCAAGTCCAGTCCTTCAAGGATTAGTTCACGAAGCTTAAGGTAAAGGTCTGTAATTTCATAAACATCATCTGACAATGCAAGGTTATGTTCATCCATCAGTTCTACGCACAGTTGAAAGACATCCTCATCACAAGGGTAGTCTTTAACTAAACACTCCTCTTTGCAAATACTCAGCTTTGTTTGTTCAATTGGATGCAAGAAATTCTGCACTCCATATAAGCTGGGAACAGCAAACATTATTGAAGGTCGACCACTGGGAGCACGTGGATTGTGAGTTGGCCGTATCCTGTGGCAATTCCAGGCACTGACTATTTCATCAAGCTCTTCCTTTATAAAATAAAAGCAACAAAATTAAATTAATAAACACACTGTAAACTGCATATTGTAGGCTATGTAAATATTAAGTTAATCTTTAACGGCAATATTGTTTTTATGATTAAATAAACTATAGTAAACCAAATGTTACCTGTATAGAATGCTGGAAACAAAACTGGATGAGAGATTTATCAATGAAACTATCAACAAAGTGCCCATCTTCTTTTAGCTGTTCAAAATGATCCATCCAAAATTGTATGCACTGACTTCTCAAAGTGGACCACCATCGTTCAATTCTCTGGTTCCCCGTGCTTGGACCAAGCGTGACAGATTCGGCACTAGCAGTGCCTCTGAAGAATGTCTGCATATCTGCTAAATGCGTATTTTCAGTTCCATGGTCAATGCGAATTCTATGTGGAAATCCGTTATTCTCAGCAACAGCTTGTATGAAATAACCCGCAATTACTCGTGGGTCATTGTTCGTTTTGTATGCTTCAAGCCAGATCATTTTTCTGGAAAACCCATCAATGCATCCGTTTATGCATATTCCGTAAGGTTTCAACTTGTCGTACCCGTCAATATGCCAAACATAGTTTGGTCCGCGGCTGTTATACATGCGTCGCCGCAGACGACCGCGAGCGCGCAGGTCAACTCCCTGTCCATCTAACAGCCGCATCAACTGACGGACAGTTTCTCTGTCTGTAATAATGCCAGAAAGCCAACATTTCTGGTGCATCCAACGATATCCATGTTGTCGTCCCGATGTCTGTAGCTGTTGGTGTATAAAACGTGCCACGTCGGCCTCGTCTGTTTTATTGCGTCTCCGCCACAACTGATTCATACATAACGTTCTCTCAAGAGTCCGCAAACTAAACTTTATGTTGTGTGATTCCTCCAATAAAATTAAGATTTCTCTATTAGTAAAACCGCACCAAAAATAATCCTCTATAATCTTTTCCATTTAGGCTATAGCCTTCATAAGAAGGTCCAGCGATGTAACCTACTTCCATGCCATACAGATAAGACTCAGATAAGCCTTTTTTCTCTGAATTGCGAGATATAAACTCAGAATTCTGACATAATAACTCAGAATTGCGACTTAATAACTCAGAATTACGATTTTATAACTCAGAATTCTGACTTAATAACTCGGAATTGCGACTTAATTACTCAGAATTGCGACTTAATAACTCAGAATTACGACTTTATAACTCGGAATTCTGACTTTATAACTCGGAATTACGACTTTGTAACTCCGAATTCTGACTTAATAACTCGGAATTGCGACTTTATAACTCAGAATTTTGACTTTATAACTCGGAATTGCGACTTAATAACTCAGAATTCTGACTTTATAACTCGGAATTCTGACTTTATAACTCGGAATTGCGACTTTATAACTCAGAATTCTGACTTTATAACTCGGAATTCTGACTTATTAACTCAGAATTCTGACTTTTAAATTTTCTTTATATTATCATTAATTTTTTTTTTATTATTAATTCTTTTTCTTTTTTTTATTCAGTGGCGGGAACGGGCTTCCATAGGAATGCGATGTGACATCACACTGTAAGGTGGGCGCGCGTTGTTGTTAGAACAGATACAGCTGCGGACGGAAATTAAAAATAATTGTTTATATTAACGTTATATATTAAATTGTATTTTATTGACGTATATCCCTACCCTAACCTTAAACTCAACCATCATATGAATGTATAATCAGTAGTTATACTGAGTATTATTCATATTATGTATTAAATTACCCATTACATTGTATTTTGTTAACGCCCAAACCCTAAACACAACCCTCACAGTAAAGTAAATTGTAAAGTAAAAGTAATTATTAATGTACAGTGTCGTCAAAATTATGCTACAATTTACGTGAATATCTGCAGCTGTATCTCATCTAGACTTGACCGCGCATAACCAATTACTTCCGAATCCCTGTTCCGAGTGCTTCCGAACGCGGTGAATGGATTTGGAGAAATTCGTGTCAGTTTCTTCCGTGTTGTTTGACGCGCGATTCCGGGTGTGACAGTCACCTGACAGCATTTCCACAGTGCCAGTCCACCCGTGCACAGTGTTTTTACCAGAAAACCTTTTATCAAAAGCATAGTAATGGCCACAAATCCACCAAAAGTCAAGGTGCTGCTGAGTGGAAATGAAAGGTAAGTTCGGAAATCTTCGTGTGGCTCTTCGGAGAACTTCGATTCTTATGAACAGTTTTTCACGTCGATTCACTTCTTGTTTTTTGTTATCTTGTTTTATCATCATACTTTTGTCAGGTTGCAGAAATTGAAAGCCGCTTTTCGTGATAAATATGGACAAATGCCGCTTTTCTATGCTTGTGCTCCTGGGAGGGTGAATTTGATCGGTGAGTTGTTGAGAAAACATGGTGTAATGTGAACATGCTGCAGCAGATGCTCTTTATATGCTCTCTTTAATCGTGTTTTTCCAGGTGAGCATATTGATTACTGTGGCTATGCTGTCCTGCCGATGGCGATAGAGCAGAGTATTCTCGCTGCTGTTTCTGTCTCTGACACTAAAACCATCCAGCTGACAAACACTGACCCCAAATACAAGTGAGTAATTCTGTTCTGCAGGAGTCATTCATTCACCCACTCACTCCATGCATTCATTCATTTATTTAATCACTCATTTATATTTATAATATGAAACACTCACTTCATTCAGATTGATTAATTAATTTAATTAATTAAATAGTTAAATGATTAATCCATCCAATCATTCATTCATTCATTCGTTTGTTCATTCACCCACTTCATTCATTCACTATTTATTCACTCAATTCCTTTATCCATTTATTCATTCACTCTATTCATTCATTTATCCATCCATTCATTCATTCCTTCACTCAATTCATTTATTCACTCCATTCAGTCAATCCTTTATTCATTCACTCCATTCATTCATTCATTCATTCACCCACTCACTCACTCCATCCATTCATTCACTCACACTCACTCAATTTATTCATTCACTTATTCACTCCATTCGTTCATAAATTCACTCACTCCATTAATTAATTAATTTATCCATTGGATTGATGGATTGATTATCCATCTATCCAATCACTCACTCCATTAATTCATTCATAAATTCATTAATTTGTTCATTCACCCACTTCATTCATTCACTCTATTTATTCACTCAATTTATTCATCTATTTATTCATTCACTCTATTAATTCATTCATTCATTCCTTCACTCGATTCATTTTACTCTATTCAATCAATCCTTTATTCATTCATTTACCCACTCACTCCCTCACTCACTCCATCCATTCATTCACTCACACTCACTCAATTTATTCATTCATTAACTCCATTAATTCATTCACTTGATTCATTTATTCATACATTCAATGGTTCATTCACTTCATTTATTCATTCATTCATTCACTCATTCACTCAATTCATTTATTTACTCATCTATTCACTCTATTCAATCATTCCAATATTCATTTACTCCATTCATCCAATTATTCATTTATTTACTTCACTCACTCACTCACTCACTCACATCATTCATTCATTCATTCATTCACTCAATTCATTTATTTACTCATCTATTCACTCTATTCAATCATTCCAATATTCATTTACTCCATTCATCCAATTATTCATTTATTTACTTCACGCACTCACTCACTCACTCACTCACTTACTCACTTACTCACTCACTCACGTCATTCATTCATTCATTCATTCATTCATTCATTCATTCAATGATCAGTCAAAAGTTGCATCAAATTATTACAGAAGTAATAGAATTACTTAAAGGTTTATATATATAAATATATATATATATATATATATATATATATATATATATATATATATATATATATATATATATATATAATAAACACAGTTATGTTTTACATGTTTGTTTACAGTTAGTTGACTGAATGTTTATATGTATGCATTTATTTATTTATTTCAGTCCAGTGTAGTCACATTTAGTCTGTAATTTATGAAAAAAAATCTTTATATGCTCAAATGTATTCGACTGTTTAGTTATTTAGAATAAATAAATAATTTTACTAAATGTTTTTGGTTGCAGTTAGTTGACTATTTGTTTATTTATTTAAGTCCAATTTTATCACATTTAGTCTGTAATTTTTTTAAAAGCTCTTTCTGTGCACAAATGTAATTGACAGTTAGTTAAAAAATAATTAATCAATTTATTCTTATAAATAAATTTTAAAAAGTTACAGTTTACTGAATTTATTTATTTAATTTCATATAAAACACTTTACATGCTCAAATGTTCTTTGACCTTTTATTTATATATTTAATTAACTAATTATTTCAGAGATTTCGCCGTGTCTGCTGATGCCATCTCCATTGACAGAGAGAATCCTCAGTGGCATTATTACTTCCTTTGTGGGGTGAAAGGACTCCAGGTGATGAGCTGTTCATCATAAGCACATACTCACCTGTGAATGCATTATAATAATCAAAGTACTCTGACCCCTGATCTTGTGTCTGCAGGAGCACCTGAGCTTGTCTTCATTGGCAGGGATGTGTTGTGTGGTGGATGGGACGATCCCGGCCAGTTCAGGCCTGTCCAGCTCCAGTGCGCTGGTGTGCTGCGCCGGTCTGCTCGCTATGGAGGCCAATCACAGATCTCTCTCTAAGGTAGCACTGACTCCAATATTATGAAAAACAGTAGTAACAAATACATCATAAATAATACATTTGTGTTGAGCTGCAGATCAGAGTTTGGTATCAGCATGAATTATATCTTATTTACATTTTATATTTGAGTTGGCAATTTTATTTTAAAATGACGTATTGGTCTTTTTAATCCCAGAAATGTTTATCTTTTTGGGATTAAAAATAATAATATGCTCGTTTCACAATTTTATTACACTTTGGTTTTTATTCACTTTATTAATTTAAAATATTATTACACTTTTAAAAAATATTAACTTTACCACATTCATGATTTTCTTGTTGAATGTGGTTTAAAATTAATTTGATTTCATTTTTATTTAGAAATAAAAATAAAACAGACAACAGCATGTGTCTTAAAATTGTCTCTTAAAATAAAAATGTTAATTAATAAATTACAATATATATATATATATATATATATATATATATATATATATATATATATATATATATATATATATATATATATATATATATATATATATATATATAATGTTCATGTGTTATTTATCAATTTCTAGTTGAATGAAGTTTATTCAATAATTTTCCCTTGGCTTAGTCCCTTATTTATCAGGGGTCGCCACAGCGGAATGAACCGCCAACTATTCCAGCCTTTTTTTCTCCAACCGCAACCCATTACTGGGAAACACACACACTCATTCATACACATACAGTACACCATGGACAGTTTAGCTTACCCAATTCACCTATAGCGCATGACTTTGGACTATGGGGGAAATCGGAGCACCTAGAAGAAATTGTTCTGTTGTTTTGTTTTGTTAAAATAAAGGCAAAAAAAATATATATATAAAAAAGATTTTTTTATATATATATATATATATATATATATATATATATATTTTACTGATTTCCTATGCACTTGATCTTTATTTCAGGTCACTCTTGCAGAAATGTGTGCCAAATGTGAGCGTTATATTGGCACTGAGGGCGGAGGGATGGATCAGTCCATTTCTTTTTTAGCAGAAGAGGGAACGGTAAGCCATGTTTTAAAGTAGCTTATATAAATGCTGTGCATTTTGTTCATTCCTGGTATAAAGATTAATGGCATGAGACTTTTTAAAATTGCTGCTCATACAGTTACTGATGCTATAATCTCTGAATTAATTTAAGAATTATAATAAAAAATAACGTGGACAAAGGTAAGTGATGAAATATTTGTAAAAAAAAAAAAAAAACATTGTGAAAGTAAACAGTTTATCAAAACAAAGTCGCAAAAAATGGACATTTATATCAGTCGACAGCAAGTCTCTTAAAATAAAAAATTATTAACATTTGAATTATTTTTAAATAAGAAAAATAATACATATATATATATATATATACAGTAAAAGTCAGAATTATTAGTCTTGCTTTAAATTTTTTTTCTTTGAAAATCTAACGCACTAAATCACACTTCAGCACCGTT